AGAGGAATCAGAACAGGAGCAGCCTTGTCTCTGTGAAGCAGGTGCTGCTGCTGAGCCTGTGAATCGAGAGGAAAAGAGCCAGAGGGTGGGAGGGGGGAGAGTCAGAGGAAGGGGCAGAAGAGAGTAAAGGAAGAGAACATTAACTTTGCACTGAAGGGTGTGAATTCTGTATTTTTGATGTCCTAATGAAGGTGCAAAACTGACTGGCATACTACACTGCATTTGGGCAAGAGCATGGGAGAGTCCTTGTTGAAGAATAATCCAATTCAGCAGAGGAGCTGGGGCTTGAAACTGGCAAAGGAATTTGGGGGATTCAGATTCAGTCAGAGGATGGTGGAAATGTGGGGGAAAGAATATACAGTCATAAAAGGAGAGAAGTCTCTCAACTTAGTTTCCTTGAATGGAGAACAACACCAGAGATTATTTTGTAAATAATCAGAAAAAAACATACATAAGAATTCAGAGGTTTAGTGTCAAAGTAGCATACAACTGGATTAGCTAAAGAGTATGTATTAAGATACACAGTAGAAAATTCTGCTAGAATAGGTGTTCTGAATGAATGAGGAAGGTGAGAAATAGCGTCTCTCACATGCATACCCTCATTCTCACCACTCCTGACTTTCACCTGTATTTCCTCCTCTGACATACTGCAGGTATGTTTACTGAAGTTACAAAATATGCCAGGGAAGGGTGATCTTCTTCTAGGATAAAATATCTAAGTGAATCAGTGAAAGTCTAAATCCATTGCTGCCCAACCTATGGCATTTACTCCTGTGATGTCTAGGGGTACGGGTGCACTGAACTTGTTCCAAGTGGTGACATAGGACTTTGGCATTCTTGTAAAACAGTGTAATGGAGTGGGTAAATGGAGCAGTGGTTGGACAAATGATTATCAATATCCGTGAAAAGAAAATGAAAGATTCTGAGATCTTTTGAGGACAGAAGTGGGTGGAGTTGGAAGGCACAAAAACAAGAAAGAAGATTTATCTATGCTTCCTTCTCCTATGGTATCCCAAACCATTTAACAAGAATGTAATGAAGTAAGATCACACTAGAAAATTCTGGTAGAATATAGTTTGATGAGTGTTTGCCTATATATTTATTGGTGTAACCACTACCCACATAATTTCCAGCATCTCAGGAAGCACACTACGGACCCTTCTTGGTAAGTCCTCACCGCCCCCCCCCCCCGCCCCGGGCCCCGAGATAATATTATTCTGACTTCCATCGCCAAAGGTTAATGTTACCTGCCCTTGAATTTCATAATTCAAGAATCTTAGTGTGTAAATTCTTCTGTGTCTTGTTTCTTTCACTCATCCTTACATCAGGGAGATTAATTTATGAAATTGCATTAAAAAATTGTGTAAGTAATCCATTGCATGATTATATGACATTTATCCATTTTCCTATTGATGAGTGTATGGGTTGTTTCCATTTTTGTCTATTATTAGCAAACCTGTACTTATCCTTTAGTGTGTGTACATATGTCATTATTAATTGTAGGTAAACACCAATGAGTGTAAGTCACTTAATTGACTGTTGGTTTCTACACTGGAGAAAATCTTGTGAAGACAACTCTGAATTCTATTTTCTGTCTCAAATAGTATAATAAGGTGATGATGGCAAAGAGCTAACACTATTGTGTCAGGTCCTCTGCATACAAACATACTCACATTTCCTCCTTATGACTACCCTAATTTATGCACTATTATTTCTATTTTCCAAATAAAATATTGCAAAATACAAAACACTATATTCAGAGACAAGACATGCAATTTGGACATGGTCCTTCTCCTTTTGCAGATGCATGTGGCTAAGTGCTCAGTGAGTGGAGCTATGAGAAAAGGAAGAGGTGGAAGGTCACCCTGTGGAGGGGAGGCTGGAGATAGGTCTGAGGGGATGGGATGCTCTGATGGATGAAAAGTGTTATATTCCAGGTGTACAGAACACGTGGAAGAAGTGAAAATAGGAACTGGGCTTTACTTTGATGTGTGTGTACGTGTGCATGCATGTGAACACATGTGTGCATGAGTACACTGAGAACGCGGGAAGAGATAACAGTGCAGTGAACAATCCGTCTAGAGGAATAAATAGTGTGGAATTTAGAAGAGTCTTCAAATTTCCAAACATCGTGTTTGAACTTTAACCTGTAGGGAAAAGAATGTCATGATGAGAACAAGATTTCATGAAGATCAACCTCGTACCTGTATAGAATTGGTTGATAGCAGGAAAAGCAATGAAAGGTTTCTGTAAGATTCCAGGAGCAGCAGCCACTGCCATTTAAATATAGGAAGTAGGGCTTCAGGAGAAAAGTCAGGATTGGAGATAATAGGACTTGCTACCTTATAATGCTACAAATAATATAAATATTTGCGTATTTATTATCTGTGGCTGGTGAAGTGGGCAGAGACGAGTGATCTCCTTTTATTGGTGAAGAAACTGAAGATAAAAATGGTCCAAACTCACCTGCAAATATGGAGACTTGAACCCATGTCTGTGGTTTCACTAGATCAGGTTGCTTCAACATAAAGGCGATGACTGAGATGGGTACACACGTGGCCCGCATGATTTAAAATGCAAAGGGTCACTCTGTAGATATGGTCTCTGTGAACTGCAATCTCTACCCCCATCTCTAGATGTTTCTTTCTCAAAGAGGAGACCACATGTCATTATACCCATTGTTACAGGAATAAAGTGCCCTGGGAAAATATGCTTTTTATTTACACAGCTTTCTCCCATGACTGTTCCATAGACAGAAAGGCATCTAAAGGCTTGAGATACCAATTTTCAACTATTTCCAACTTGGTATAGATTTTTTAAAAGACTAGACATCAACCCCAAATAATTCACTTTCATTTTCTAACATGACTCAAGGTTCTTCAGGAAGTTAGAAAGGATTTCAAAATGAGAATAAATTACATACTACTCAAAAGCAGGAGGGGTATTACTTCCCCCATGCTTTAAATATATATGTGTGTGTGTGTGTGTGTGTGTGTGTATAGTTGCTGAAGGGCCTTTATTTTATTTATATATGGTGTTGAGAATCAAACCCAGTGACTCACACATGCGAGGCAAGCACTCTACCACTGAGCAACACCCTAGCCTCTTCCTCCATGCTTTGACTAATGCCCAGGATAAGGAAGGCACTCAAGTGTTTGCTGAATGAATTATTGTGGTCCATAAAATCTTGTTTGGGGTCTTAGCTCCACATTAGCAGATTGATGTTTAGAGCATCTCACACATGTTAGTTTCCTTATCCATTAATGAGAGATTGGAAGTAGTAGATCATCTGGTAGTTTCATGCCATTTCTCACATTCTAGAATGAAGTGTGTTTTCCTGGCATTAGTCTGATTATTCAATGGCAAATCACCTTGCTTATCTATGCTTCATATCTTTTAAAATTTTTTTTTTATGCTAGAAAGTGTTGAAAAAAAGGAATCGTGAAGTCTATGTTCTACTTAGGAGAGGAATGAAGATGGGAATGAATTTTAAAAAGTCATTGGCTGATTCATCTTTTTTGCAGTAGTTTGCAGTGCTCAGTGGCAATATAGCTTTGGTTGATTTTGGGGTATGTCAAGTTTAAAAACTAAACTTATATCGAAGTACTTTTGTTTATTTTTTCATGGTAAACAGATCTTTTACTCCTTAAATGTGACCTTAAATATGGCTGATTCAACTAGATTGAACTATTCAACTATTCAACTAGATAAACCTTGTGAAATGTAATGCACACCTTTTTTGTCTATTAAAGGACACACATTTATGTATGTCGATAAATTTGTAGCAGGTAGATCGAGGATGTAATTGTTTATAAAGTAGAGGTCCTCTGAAAAGGGTGATGAATTAAACTCATGTGGGAACTCCACTTAACAGTCTTTATAGCACATAGTATTTAAATCAGCATTGAAGAAATAATGTTGGCAGGACAGAATTTTGAACAAGTTATTGGTTATCACGTGTAAGAAAGTTCCGTTAAACATCACATTCCAGCATTTCCCTTTTCTACCACAAAAATATCATTTTTCTACCACTGTTTTCTGCACACTGTTGGCATCTTTAAAAGGCAACATTGCCCAACTCGACTGCAGACAGATCTTCATGGGCTTTTGGTGGTATTCTTATTCCTTAGAATACTTAGGCAGGGGGTTAAATATTTACCCTGCTCTGCTCTTGATGAGTTAGGACTGACCTGGCTCACATTCAGGGGTATTCTTTTATTGCTTTTTCACTAGTTAAGGATGCTTTTCCATTTTTCTCACATATTCTCCCAGATCTGTTCTATTTTTCTGGATCCTTTAAAACCAAAGTTGCAACATGTCTTTGGTCTAAGTCTGCTTCTTCTTTCAACTATAGCATTTCCCAAATCATCTTTTTATTGGTTACTGTAGATAACATTTGTGACAGAAATGAAAGGAAGAGGCAAAAGTTAAAAGTGAAAGTTCTGCTCTCCTGCTTAATGGTATGAGACACATTGACTTTATTCTTTATTGTGTATCTCTATCTATCCATCTATCTCTGTCAATATAACATTTTTTTTTTACTTTGCAAAGTTAATGTTAAGTAAAAATATACTCGTGTGCATTTATCTTAGCACTTGCTTATCCAACGGACAAATCCAACTAACATTGGGCACAAAGAGATATGGATGGGACAACCTACATGCATAAAATCACTAAGGGGATTTGCATCTAGAAAGAAACCCCCCACCCCATCACCACCAACCACACACACACCTGCTCCCGGAAGCGCCCTTTAAGGTGTGTGCCTTTCCTAAGGCATTTGGATGATAATGCGACAGGGAAGAATTTGCATTGCAAAGAAGAATTTTTTAAAATGCGGTGCAGATAGTTAATAGCCAAGAGCGTGGCTCGTGCAGGGGGATGCAAAGGAGGAGGAGGCTGGAGCACTGACAGCCAGCTGGGGGCTGACCTGATTCCCTAGAATCCTCAGCTCCCTTCCTCTTCCCTCCCAGCGTCCTTCCTTCCTTTTTTTCTCGCCCTCTCCCCCCTTTTTTCCTTTTCCCAGATAAGCTGCTCCGGGAAACAAAGAACTCGGGCTCTCCGGACAGCAGCGCTCGAACCGAGCGCTCTACCAGCGGCTCCTCGTTCCGGGGACCAAGGCTCCCCGGCTCTGCATCCCTCCCCAGCCTCCCCCGCCTCCCGCGCTCGCTCGCTCGCTCGCTCCCTCCCCGCTCGCTTCCTCCCCCACCATCGCAGCGCTGGGAGGAAGGCGGCTGGGGCTCAAGATGGCTTTAGCCCTGCTCTGCGCCCTGCTCGCCTGCTGCTGGGGGCCGGCGGCGGTGCTGGCCACAGCCGCCGGCGACGTGGATCCATCCAAGGAGCTGGAGTGCAAGCTCAAAAGCATCACGGTGTCGGCGCTGCCCTTCCTGCGCGAGAACGACCTGAGCATCATGCACAGCCCCTCGGCCTCCGAACCCAAGCTCCTCTTCTCGGTGCGCAACGACTTCCCGGGAGAAATGGTCGTGGTGGACGACCTGGAGAACACCGAGCTGCCCTACTTCGTGCTGGGTGAGTCCCGGGGGAGGTCGAGGCGGCCGCAGGCGCTGGACCGGCGCCCCCACCCCCCACCCCGGCTCGCTCCACACACCCACTCGCCGGCGACATCCCCTCCCCCACTCCTACCTCCCTGGATCCGCCCCACTCCCGGACCGTTCTCCACACCCACTTGCAGGCTAGAGCCTCGGTGCACCTGACTTCTCCCCAGATCCGACCTGGGTGCTGGGCCCTCGGCCTCTCCTCAGCCTCCAGCCCCAAAGGAACAGGTTGCAGGAGTGAAACCTTTCTCAGTCTTGCCCCTCCTGGTTTTAATTCTGGAGCACAGCCGCACAGCACTTCTGGTCTGCCACAGCTCAACTCCCATAAGCCCTTCTCCTCGCTCCCTGACCACATGCTCAGCTCTTGCTTCACACCCTCTGGACACCCACAGCCACCCACAGCCATTCCTGGGGGTTTTAGAGGAAGGTATTCAGTCATCACCTTGTAAGGCATGTGCAGGCCCAACTGCACCGGCTGTGCCTCTAGTCTTCAGTCCCTGACAGCCCTATGTGCCACCAGGTTGCTGACACCTTCCTTCCAAATACTCAAGTTTCTTAGAGTGTTCATCCTTGGGAGGTCCTACCTCTTTGCCTAAATGTAACAACCCCCTCACTCAGCCACCTCCACATCTCCGTGTGTCATCATAGTTCCTTGGATAAATTAGAAATCACCCAACTGTGCTCTATTAAATTGGTTTCTTTGTTCCCAGAGCTGCCTTAGAGAGGCATAGACACCTGTCCACACAGAAGGACCTCCCCTGGCACAAGGCTCCTCTTTCCTTTGTTTACATCTGTCTCTTTGAGTACCTTCCTTGTCATTTTCTTAGGCCATAGCACTCCTCAGGTACTGGAATCGCTATATCACTTTGAATTTCCCCTCTTTATCATTATGGAGTCATAAAGCTATTGAGGTCCTGTTTCAACATCTTGCAAAGCACTACAGGTTCACAGGACTTAGTTCACCAAACCTCTCCACTTCTTCATGTGCAGATGTGTCTCTCACCCTGCTATGTGCGCCCATTGCGTATCTGTTTCTTTAGTGAGGCTGTATATATATTCTTATTTTGCCCAGGAGAGAATTCAAAGAAAACCACAAACCACAACTCAGTCTCTAGATCCAAGGTGGTAAGGAAGAAAGAAAGAAAAAAAAAAAGGAGAAAGAAAGAAAGAGAGAGAGAGAAAGAGGGTGGTTCCAGGACACTGTCACATCTACTTAATGCCCTACCTACTCACAGGGACATGGCTTCCTGACAGCCGTATGTAGGTTAGAGCCACATGGCAAACTCTTGTCTCGCTCTGGTTCCCCCTTCACAAGAGATAGTAAAAATATTAGCAAGTGGGTGAGAAAACCCTTACTCCCAACTCCCATGGAAAAGTAATTTAAAAAATTGCCTGGTCCTTTGAAAAGTTGGCTTCTAGTTCCTGGAGTGCACCTCCATTGAATCATTCAGCCCAACCTACGCTCTTGATAGGATTATTTATTTTTGCATTAAAAACATCAATAACATAATAAAAACTGGGGGCTGCATGAGAATGGAAACGTTGTGGATATGGTACTCATTACCATGTACAATTGCTGGGTTAGTCAGAGGATGTAAATTTTGTGTGGAAGTCATGCTGATGTCCAAGTACAGTCTGTTCATCATAATATACAGAATGAGTATGGAGAATTATGTGTTTCCAAAGGGGTTCTTTTGGGTTCTGCATGCAAGTGCTTATTGTGCATAAAGAAGGACATGTGTGGATGGAAAGAGGGAGATTTGACTACCAGGTATTCAAAATTCCACTTTCTTTTTTGCAGAATCCTAATGCTGGTACTGAATATCTTGATAGGCCTACCAGGATGCGATAGGCACTTTCGAAGCTCAGAGTTAAAGAATGGCTTTTCTGCACTTCTGTGCAAAGCTGCCCACTGCAGCACCCTGTTTGGGTTGCTATGGTAACCTAGCTGCAAGTTGGCATTTGCACATAGGCAACAGCACAATTCTCTCACTTCAGGGCCAGGTGCACTTTTTAAATGCATCAACTGTCCCCTCCCCTCCTCATTAATGAGGTGTGCTAGAATTAGCAATATGCTGGTACCTATTAACCCTTGTGGCCCAATATTCCAAAGGGGAGCAAGGATAACTCTCAGTTTCATTGGTGGAGCCAAACTGGGCAGAAAGGGGGAAGAGTCCAAGTTCATGGAGGGCAGACTCAAGGACAGGTGTTTTTGAAGTTAACTCCTATGGTCCTGGATCCTGTCAATCATGGCCAACACAAAGGGCTGTAGTGACTACAGCGCTTCACTTCCTCTCTCCCATGTGCTTACGCCATGCCTGGAGAAATCTGAATTGGTCACACCCAGGAATTTATTGAGCATGAACTTGCTTAGCTCTCTTAGGCACTAAGACAAGAAAATTAAAAAAATAAAAAGCTCCCACCTTCAGGTCCTCTCACTGGAAACACCCCATGCCTGCTAGAGCTGGATGGTACATGATTGTGTAGTATGGATGTTAAGGAGTCTAGGAATGCTGAGGAAGGAGATGCTTCCATAATAAGTTTGTGTCTCCATAGAAGACACGAACTTGATCAAAGGCTACCCCTTTGGGTGGGGGGGGGGATGAATACAAACAGCAAAAGCAAGCTTTGGCCTCCCTTTGTTTCCAGGATAAAGGCCCATCACTTCAATGAGGCAAAGTTTTTCTCAAAAGTTGTATTACAGTTGACTTTTCACACTTCATATTCCTCCAAGTCTGCCAAGGCTATCAGAACTCTTTCGAATCTTTGCATGTATTAATTCCTCTGCAAAGAAGGCTCCTTGTCTCTTCCTTACCTGGTGGCCATCCATTCTTCCTCTGAACTCTGCACTCAGGTCACCGCTCTGTGAAGCCTTCCCTTCCCTCCAAAGGTGGTCTTAGTCCACCCCACTTCTGTGATCTTTACATGGATTAAAATGCAAAGCAAATGAATGAAATTAAAGGAAGGCTGGATTTGGCTTGGACTAGGAGAGGTGAAGATTTGAGGTCATGTTGGGAATGAATCTGAGCATGGAACTTACATGCCTGTGGCATAGTGTGGAGAGTGCTGGGCTGGGAGAGTGGTGGGAACCATGCCTGGTCCTGGAGAAGAGGCGTGGGTGTCCAGGCCCTCAGCCTTGTTACTTTCGCTTGTAGGATAATCCCAGGCGTGTGTGTGGGAGACCATGTCTCCTCTTCTTTGAGGTGGGTTTGTAAATTGTGGTGCAAGTGACATATGTGACTTTCGGATATGGTTTTTTTTGGGGGTGGGGTGGGGTGGGGGGAGAGGGGTTACACATAGTTTTGAATTGGAATATGTTTATGTAGGGAATGTCATCTCTTCCCACAAATGTCATCTTTCCCACAAATCCTAATTGTACTGTGTCTGACCCTTTTCTTTATGGTACTTATCTGACAACTCTAAGCTGGGTAATCTAAACACACATTTCAAGATGTGCTATAAAAAGTCTCCAAAGTATTGAAAAATAACTGCGGTTTCTAATTTTAAATACTTAGCTATCTAAGTCTTAGTATCCTCTCAGAAGTTTTTAAAGGCTTGACAGATTCACCAACTGAAGTTTCATACCTCAGCTTTCACAACAGTGGAAACTCCTATTTTGGAGGTATATTTGATTTTGAGACAATGAGTGACCCTGAAGTGGGGCCTCCAGATATTCTGTGCTGTGAACACAATGTATTTGTCAGTCTTGTTGCTATTCGAAGGGGACACCTTTCTGTTTCATATCCAACTATTGAGCTTTTGCATGCGTGAAACTCAGTGAAGAAAGCTATTTCTCTTGTGCCTGGGAGTTTTGCTTTAGCAGTCATAGCTTTTGATTGATTTATCTTCAGGAATGCTTTGTTCAATCAGTCTGCAGAGGTGTAGTAAGTTCCCACATGCACAGTGCTGTTTGAAGTATCTGCAGCAGTCCAGTGTGGTGGTTTAGAGCATGGGCTATGAAGACAGATCTGGTGTCAACTCCTGGCTTGCCACCTGTTCCAACAGTGGAGGAAAGAGCAGATCAGGGAGGGTAAATGAATTACTCAGGGTCACTTAGCTAGCAAATGATGGATCTATCACTCGAACTCAGGTCAATATCAAGTTGAGTCCTTTCTCTTAGCTACTGTTTTATATGCCTTAAAATTTCTCAAAAATTGTTTTGTTTCATAGTTGAATAAAAGGAGTCCTGGAATGGTTAGGATAGGGAAAAGAGTCCCTTATGATGTCTATGCAAATACCTCTTGGCTCTCCTTGCCCAACCAGGGATTTCTCACACAAGTCTTAATGTGGAAGGTGATGTTATCAAAGAGTAAGTCACACAGTAGGTATATTTGCTTAAGAAGAGTGGGGGGGGGACTGGGGCTGTGGCTCAGTGGTAGAGCGCTTGCTTTTCAAGTGTGAGGCCCTGGGTTGGATCCTCCGCACCACATAAAAATTAATAAACAAATAAAGATATTGTGTCCATCTACAACTAAAAGAATATTAAAAAAAGAAATAAAAAAAGAAGAGTGGGGGTATTCTTATTTCATAATTACCAAGCTTTGGGTAGTCATGTCTCCATGTTCCTTGTTGGTATATTGTGACACCCAGGGAGGTGACGAATAAGCTAATGTGCACAGGAGGAAGATCACATGTTCAGTGCTCTTCTGAGAAGGGCCTTCCGGAAATGCAAACTGAGAGCACCAGAGGGTAGGATCACAGAGCCATCCAGAGGCCATGCATGTCCAAGGCCCCTGATCTTTTCTTTTCTTTGAATTTTAAAAGTTTTTTTTATTAATGAAAAGTAAACATTATACTTATTTATTTACTAAGAGTACAGTTAAGAAATAAGATTCAAAAGAAAAGCAAACTCTAAAATTTTACAAGGTATTATCTCCTTATAATATAGAGAGCTCCTACAAGTAAAAAAAAAACAAAAATAAAAATAAACAACTCGGTAGAAAAGTGGCAAAGGATGTAAAGTACCTATTCATA